ATTTGGCTTGCTCTTTGTGTTCGACTTTCCATTATGTTATTTTGCACTGTTTATTTTATCTTGTTATTTTATGTATTTTATTGTGATGTATTTTGTTTGGTTGCTTTGTATTTTATTGTGTTGTATTGTGTCTTCGGACTTGGCCTCATGTTAGCCACCCCGAGTCCCCTTTGGGAGATGATGGCCGGGTACGAATAAAGTTGGGTTGTTGAAGGTTTTTCCGGGCTATATGGCCATGTTCTAGAGCAGGGGTCCTCAAACTAAGGTCCGGGGGCCGGATGCGGCCCTCCAAGGTCATTTACCCGGCCCTCGTTCAGTGTCAACCTAAGTCTGAAACGACTTGCAAGTACACAACAACAACAACAACAACAATCTCATCAGCCAAAAGTAGGCCCACACTTCCCATTGAAATACTAATAAGTTTATATTTGTTAAATTGTTCTTCATTTTACTTATTGTATTGTTTTTAAGTGTCTTTTGCACTACAAATAAGATATGTGCAGTGTGCATAGGGATTCATTCATGCTTTTTTTCAAATTATAATCCGGCCCTCCAACAGTTGAAGGAACTGTGACCTGGCCCTCTGTTTAAAAAGTTTGAGGAACCCTCTTCTAGAGGCAAAATGCTTCTAGACCATGGCCATATAGCCCGAAAAAACCTACAACAACCTAGTGATTCCGTCCATGAAAGCCTTCGACAATACAAATAAAGTTTATTATTATTATTATTTGAAACACAACAAGATGAGTCCACAGCAGACACGCTGCTGGCTGTTTTATTGGATCACACGTCGGACACTTCCCAAGTGTCTGGGGCTGTGTGATGGATTGGCAAATAAGGCGTGCAGATCCCAGTAGGGTGGCCTTTTGCAGCTGGCAGCTGGCAATCTTGCCAGCGCCAATTGTGTTTAAGTGCCGGCCAAGGTCTTTAGGCACTGCACCCAGTGTGCCGATCAGAGTTTTTGCAGTTCGATCTTTAAATCCTTGTATCATGTCAGCTTTTCCAGTTGTTTCTCTGCAATCCTGCTGTCACCTGGGATTGCAACATCAATGATCCATACTTTGTTTTTTAACACGATTGTGAGGTCAGGAGTATTATGCTCTAAAACTCTGTCTGAATCCGGAAGTCCCAGAGGAGTTTGGCGTGTTCATTCTCTGTAACTTTTTCCGGCTTGTGATCCCACCAGTTCTTTGTCACAGGCAGATGGTCTTTTGGCACAAGTTCCAATGAATCGTCTGAGCAATGGTGTTGTGCCTCTGCTTGGAGTCTCTCTGCGTGATCTTCTTGCAGCAGCTGAGGATGAGATCTATTGTTTCATCTGCTTCCTTGCAGAGCATACATTTAGGATCTGTTGTCGACTTTTCAATTCTGGCTTGGATGGCCTTGGTTCTAATGGCTTGT